AACTAGCTCGTCAAAACGCTGAGGCCTTACAGAACTGACTAAAGAAGGAGAAGGTTGCACATGAGAGGTTAAGGAAGGAGATAACCCCAATTGAGAGACAATGAGAGTCATCTCTCGCCGAGATACAAGTGCTGTAGAGTCGCCTCAACCACTTTAGAGTCCAAGGCCTCCCAATTGAGGTTGTTGAAAATTACCATAACGACACTCTCTGGAAGACCGAGATAGCCCTGTCCTGCAAGGCTGGCTTCGACTACCTCATGATACAGCTGCCGGCCGAGCTTAAGATCGATCCTGGATAGTTCTATTATTCCTCACGAGTCGCCAATTGCTTTGAAGCTTTGCGGGAGATAGAGAAGAGAAGAGGATGGCTGGTCCTAGATGTCAATAATGGAGACAAGGAAGGTGAGGAATAGGCCCAAGGAACAAGTGAAGGCTCCGCCCAAGATAGTTGGGCTAGCTGTCCTGAAGAGGAGGACGACAAAGAGGTCAGGTCCGAGCCTCGGTCGTCTCCTCTGCTGACTTCTACTGCTTCTGCTTCTCTAGCCGCCTTCTTGTGGGCTCATGCGTCTTCCACATCCATGTGCCCTCCAAACTTTCCAATTTCCTTTAGCATTAGCAAGATACAGATTTATGTATTTGTCACGCCCCGCTTCCCAAAATACCAGGGAATCGGGACGCGAGCAAGCACGCGACATATTAAACTAAGAAGAGATAAGTGCTAGACCCCGTCTTCTCAATCTAATACGCTAAGCGTCAAGAAATACAAACGAAAGCACAAGTCCCCGATCACAGTAATGAGAATATAATAAACAACTCAGAACCAAAAGATACATATCACAACTGAAATGATCATCCAGACATAATATTCGGGCCAAACATGCCCTTATACAAACTATCTGAATGAAATACTTGAGAATATAAAATACAATGATCAGGCGGAAAAGGAAATGCTACGAAAATAAACTGAAAGGAATAACTGAGCTTCAACTCTTCTTCTGCTTCGTCTACATGACACTCCTGCTGAGAATACTCGGCTCTGGCGCGTCTCTAAGCTGAACTTGTTCTTCTTCTAAGTTTGACGTACACCAGAGAAAACAGGTGTACGTCAGGTGCATGGCGCACGGTAAGATCCCAAAAGGAAGAATAGAATGGTCGTGCAACCAATGCAAGAACAATAATAATAATAATAATAATAGTAATAATCTAAATGAAATCCACCACCAGAATATAATAATCAGAAGAATCAAAAATCGATCGGGTAATGAGATCCTGCAGCTAGCAATCAAACTAATCATCCAAGTAACGAGGTCATACTACTAGCCATTGTATAACAGGTCACTGGTCACATCTCACACAGAGTCAACGCTCCTGTCATCGGATAACTAGCTGTTCACAAATCCCCTACGCGCATCCAATACCGCTACACGGATCGGTCAGAGGACTACACGCAATCCGATTTCGGCCTGGTCCGAACTCAAGCAGAACTCGGGTGACTACACAAATTCACTTACTAAAGTGACTACACGAATTCACTTTAGCCCAACAAACCAACCCCAGTGACTACACATGAACACTAGTGCGAACCTGGAAGATACATCAACAGTCTTATCCTATCACATGAACACTAACTTCCCCATCCCAACTCTCTTGTTTTTCTAAGCTAACACATGAACACTAACTTCCCCATCCCAACTCTCTTGTTTTTCTAAGCTAACATATGCACAGGTTTCTAAGTCTTAAACAGAACACTTCAGACCACACTAGTCATGAATTTCTAACGGTTCTTAACATAACAAAGAGTAATAAATGCAACTAATCATATATAACAAGATCATAGCATATCACATAATTAAAATTAAGAAACATAAATCATGAAAAATTCATAATAATCATTTCTCTTAAATAAATCCTTTAAAAATATTTATAAATATCCTAAAAATAATTCCTTTTATAAAACTTTCTTAAATTAGTGAAATTATTCTAAATTGATACTTATTCTAAAATAAAATTTTTTAATTATTTATAATTATTCTAAAATAATTCTTTTGTCAAATAAATTCTATTAATTTATTATAATTACTCTAAAATGATTTTTCACCAAAATAGTAATTATTTTAAATTGATTATTTTGTCAAATAAATTCTTTAAAATTATAAAATATTCTAAAATAATTTTATTTTATTTTATCTTTACAGTATCTATTATCATAAAATTATTTTTAATATCATTCGTCAAATAAATCCGTACAGGTCATCACCGTATATGTATTACAATATGAATGGTCATACGTTATTGTCCACAGTCCGTTTCGTTCATGACAGTTCTATACGTTATGGTTCTCAGTCCAATATGTTCACGACAGTTCCGTATTTGTAACGAATAATTATTCAGGTAACGAGTTCGTATGCATAATAGATCTGTAATCAATCTAAAATTGTACTGAGCAAGAATAGGGATCTTGCAAGCAGCTAATTAAATCAGGGCGGATCTAAGAATTGACACTTGACAATCAAGAAGTATCGACGGATCTTGGCCTCGGGTTTTTGTCGAAACAGATTCGACATCGGTCTGGCTTGCGAGCTTACGGCCCGCTATGACTGGTGACGACGAATGGAATCTGAACGGCGCCGAGGATGCAACCAGGGGCTGACCGCGGGAGGCAGTCGTGGTCACAATCTGGCGGCCGCGGTTGGATGAGGTGGCTGACGGGGATGGGCGAGTGCACCGGGACGGCCGTCCGGAGTTGGGACGCGAGCAGTATTGAGGTGTCGGTGCAAACTGAGGAGTCGGCGAGCTAGAGGAACTGCTGGCCGGTTGGCGCGGTGCTCACGGTGACGGCGCGGCGTCGTGCGAGGCCCTGACGACGGAGAGGAGAGAGAAAGCGGCGGACGAAAAGGATGAGCCGCTGGCCGGTGTTCAGTCGGGTAGGAGCCGCAAGCGCTGGAGGTGGCTGGCTCGGTCGATGGGCAGGGGGAGCGGCTCAGGCGGCCAGCGGCGCGCTGCTGCGGCTTAGCCGCGTCACTGCGAGCCTGAACGGCGCACCCCGGTCTGGAGCTGAACGGCGCGCGAGCAGAGCTGTCGTCGGGGGGCGGTCGATTCATTCTTCTGATGCAGCAAGGCGCTGCGCGTCTCCTGGACCCCAAAGTGGCGGCGGGCTTTGCGGCGGAGAGGGAGGTCGGGTTGGGGCGGCGAGGCGGAGCCAGGGCCGAGCTGCGCGGCCACACATCCTCGCTCAGCGGCGAAGGCGGGCGGAGTGAGGCAGCGGCGGCGGGGGCGGAGGTCGGAGCCGCGAGCTCGAGCTCGAGAGAGAGAAAGAGAGAGAGAAAGATGGTGTGGTGATCACGAGCTGGGTGAGGGGGTTTAAATAGGGGAAAATGATTAAAAAATAAAATAAAATATTGAGGGATGATTCGCGTGGATAGCAGTCAATTTTGAAAAAATGTGGAGGGAGAGAACGGGGTTGTTGGGGTTTGTCGCGGGAGCAAAATAATTTGGGATTATTTTCAAATGGGTTTAGGTATTTAAACGAAAATAATTAAAATAAATAATTTCGGGTACTTAAAAATTAAACTAATTACATAATAATTATCTACAAATAAAAACGTACATGTTGAGCTAATACAACAGTTGATACGAAACTGTCGAAAATATACCCGTATTGTACAATTAAACTGAAATAATTAATAATAAAAATATATTTACTTACATTTAAAAATCAAATAATTATGTGACAATTATCTACACAATAAAACATACCAGTTATGCTAATACGACAGCTAATACGTAATAATTAAAATAATACAATAATTTACACAAATAATACGTAATTAATAATTCAATATAATACAAGAATTAATACGTAATAGTAATAATAATACGACGTATTATTTAAAATAATACGTAATAGTATCAGTAACATAACAGATAAATCTCAGAAATTTTCATTGCACTAAATTAATTTATAAATATAAAAAAACCATTTAAATAAATATAAAACTTAGACTTTAAATCATAGAAAATTCTAGAAAATCAAGAAAAATATAAATATTCTTTTAAAAATCATAATTAAATATTTTAAAATACCGAAAATTTATTTTAACTAGTATCAAAATTTTACGGTCATTACAGTATTAGTATTAGCACAATTTGTAAGTTACAAACGATAAGGGTGTGCATTGGCATAACAAGCAAAAAATTTCCTTAATTTGTCACGTTATTATGCATATTTCAATATGGAGTCATGAATGATTCATGCGAATGTATATAAATACTTTTTTTTAGAATTATATGGAATTACGGAAGCATTGTTGGATTAATTTTCTATTATCGCTTTCAATTGTTTACATTTTAAATTTTTTTTACTGTATATAGATATTTTTTTGATAAACTTTTTCTCAATTTTAAAAAATCTGATTGTAGTGGAGAACAAGGAGATAACATATATTTGAAAAGTAGAAATTCTCATTAATATTTGATTACTTAAGTAAAGGACTTTTTGATATGCATTCTAGAAAGAGCAGATATTTTAGTTTTACTCTGATTCATAACTCTTAATTTACTTAAGTAATGGACTTTTTGATATGCATTCCAGAAAGAGCAGCTATTTTAGTTTTACTCCGATTCATAACTCTTAATTTCTACCATTTTCTTGCATGTCTATCACATAAATATATAAGATAAGATGCCAGTCAAGTGCACTTTACTATCGCAAATACGTGCGCCTTGTGTCAGTAAGATATAAATTTTGGAAACTACAATCATGTCCGAATCTCAATAGCTTTGATTAAAATAGTGCACTTTCCTATTGCAAATACGTGGCCCCACGTATCAGTGGGCATAAACTTTGACAGCCGGCAATCACGTCCAAATATAGTTAGGTTTAACTTAAGACTTAATCAAGAAGAAAATTATCCTAATTATGACCGTTACTTAGCTTAATCTTGACGCCGACTTAAACCGGCTTAAATTGATTAGCGGGGCCTTCGTATCTCTCGTCTTTTCGGTGCCTCTATCTTCTCAATTCTCGCGGAGATCCAGGGTTTTCTGCCCTAAATCGTTAAAGATTCGACGATCCAAGGCGGAAGAGGAGCCTATCTCAAGCAGAGGGTTTTCTGCCCTAAATCATCAAAGATTCGACGATCCATGGCGGAAGAGGAGCCTATCGAGGGTTTTCTGCCCTAAATCGTCATAGATTCGACGATCCATGGCGGAAGAGGAGCCTATCGAGGGTTTTCTGCCCTAAATCGTCAAAGATTCGACGATCCATGGTGAGAGAGGAGCTGATCTCAAGCGATTTCAAGGTAACGATCTTATTTTTTTACTATTTATGTGTACATTGGAAATTTCTGCGGCTTACATCCTTGATCGATCAATGCAGGTAAATTCTCCCATCCTCAAGTTCCCATCGCTGGATCCATGGTGGGGAAGTACTTCGAAGAAAATCAAAGTTGGGAAAGGTAACATCTTGACCCTTTAATTGAAGATAACTTTTTTATTTTTGTTCAGTTCTGTTGAAATCATGTTCTGATGTTGATAGCTAGAAACATACTGTCATCAAATTTCTTGAACTTGTCATCTTTAGATGTAAAAACCTTCCTTGGCAATGTATTTAATTAACTCGCTTATTCTTTCTGATGCAAACTTGTTAATTGTTTGTTGGTTTTCTTAGCAAGCGTAATTAGTGCAACTTAAGTAAAATCTTGGATGGTTGTTTTGCTTGAGATTAAAAAACTTTGGTTAGCCATCACATTGTGCTGCTTCTGTGAGCACGTCATTGTGGCCTTATGGGTTATGTATTTTAATTTAATAACCTATTCTTTATGATGCAAAGTTGATAACTGCTTGTTGGCTTTTTTAGCACACATAATTAGTGCAGCTATAGTAAAATCTTAGGGTAGCTGTTTTGCTTAAGATTAAAATATTTTTTTACAAATTTGTAAACTACATTTTTTTCAAAATGCAAAATTTTGACTTTTCAAACCTTTTAAAAAGTTTTTTCAAACGATTCGCCTTAATGACATTTTAGCGTTGGTGACATCTTACCTTTTTATGTTTTTACTTTTCATTTTTTTTCAAAGTTTTCAATAGTTTTAAGAATTAAACTAACTTTTTAGCAATTTCCAATACCATTTTACGTACTTACATTTTTTTTTTCAAATTTCCAATTTCTTAAACTCTTTACACTTTCACATATTTTCAATTTGTTCATGCTTTCTAATTTCAAACTATTTTCAAGTTTTCATATTTCGTAGAGAAAGTTTTAATCTTCTAAAGTTTTCAACGATTTAAATGTTATAAAAAGTAGGTTTGATAGATATTTACATTCCAAACTTTCCAATTTCTCAAACTATTTCCATTTTTACATATATTCAAAAAATTTAAACTATCCTATTTTCAAACTTTTTCAAGTTTACTTTAAAAGTTTTCTCAAACTTTGTTTTTTAAATTTCAAAACATCAAATTTCTCAGAACTCTTTTGACATTTGACTATAATTTTCAAACTTTTTAATTCCTTAAACATTTTTCATGTTTTCATGTTTTTTTGAAAAGTCTTAATCTTTTCTAAGTTTTCAATGGGGTTTCAATAATTAAACTAACTTTCCGTATTTTTAAATGCCATTTTTACATATTTACATTTTTGCGAACTTTCCAATTTCTCAAACTCTTTCCATTTTCAAACTTTCAAATTTGTCAAAGTCTTTCCATTTTCACTTTCTTCAAACTTTATGATTCTTCACTTTTTTTTCAAGATTTTACTTTAATTTTTAACTTTCCAATTTCTTCAACTTTTTTCAAGTTTTCATAAATTTATAAGGTTTTTAAATACCTTTTTTTTCACTTTAACATAGTTGACTTGTTTTGCATTTCATTTAGCTTTCAATTGTTCCACTTTCTCATACTTTCCAAACATTCCAAGTTCTTATGATATAGCTTTAAACTTTCCAAAATTTCAAACTATTTTCAAATTTCGTATTTTATAGAAAAAGAATTAATCTTGAAAAAGTTTTCATCATTTTAAACTATAAAATAAGCTTTCCTGCATTTTCAAATGTCATTTTTAGATATTTATATTTCAAACCTTCCAATTTCTCTAACTCTTTCCACTTTTACATATTTTCAAATTTTTTAACTTTTCTATTTCGCAATTTCTTTTCCATTTTTATATAATTAGATTTTTTTAGCTTTCCATAATTGAAACTTCTTGATTTTTTTTATTTTTTGAATATTCAAACTTTTTCAAGTTTCATAACTTTACATGTTGCTATAAACTTTTTTTTAAACTTTCCAATCTTCCATTTTCTCAAGCTCCTTTGTCATTTCGCTATAATTTCCTAACTTCCTATTCGTGAAACACATTTCATGTTTCATATTTCTTAAAGAAGTCTTAAATCTTTTCCATGTTTTCGATGGTTAAAATAAATAAATTAACCTTTCCATATTTTCAAATACCATTTTACTTATTTACATTTTCTTTCACATTTTATAACTTCTCAAACTATTTTCAAAATTTCACAATATCTTTTGAAAAAGTCTTAATCTTTCCTAAGTTTTTAAACTTTCCAACTTGTCAAACTTTGTTCATTTTCACATATTTTAACTTTGTTCACATTTTTCTGATGTTTCGACCTTTTTTTGACATTTCACTTTTCAATTTCATAATTTTTTTAAGTTTTCAAAACATTATAAGGTTTTCAAATACCTTTTTTTCCACTTTAACATAATTCACTTGTTTTGCATTTCACATAGCTTTCAAACGTTCCAATTTCTATACTTGTCAAACGTTCCAGTTCTCAATAGTTCAATTTTGAAACTTTCCATATTTTCAAATTTCTTTTAATTTTTCTTAGTTTATTGAGAAAAGTTTTAATCTTTTTCAATGGTTTAAATTATAAAACTAGGTTTTCCACGTTTTTAGACGCCCTTTTTAGATATTTGCATTTTAAACTTTCCAATTTCTCAAACTCTTTCCATCTTTACATATTTTCAAATTTTTTTAACTTTCCAAAATTCCAATTTCTACAAACTCTGTTGACATTTCGCAATAATTTTCAAACATTCCAATTTCTCAAAACACTTCTCATGTTTTAATTTTTTAAAAATAAAAGTGTTAACCTTTTCTATGTTTCCAATTCCGTATTTTCAAATACTATTTTTGCATATTTACATTTTTTTGTTCAAATGTTCCAATTTCTCAAACTCTTTCCATTTTTCAAAGTCTCCAATTTGTAAAATCTTTCTGGTTTTTTTTTTTTACATTTTGCTTGCTCTGAAATCTTCCAATTTCTCATACTTTTGAAGCATTCCAATTTCTTATACTTTTAACTTTCCAAAATTTCAAACCATTTTCAAGTTTTCATATTTTTATAGAAAAAGTTTTAATCTTTGATGGGTTTAAATTATGAAAGTAGGGGTTTTCACATTTTCAAATTCCATTTTTATGTATTTACATTTTTTTGAACTTATCAATTTCTAAAACTTTTTGACATTTAATTTTTTTTTAACTATCAAACTTTTTCAAGTTCCATAACTTTACAAGTTTGTCTTTTCTAACTTTTTCTAGTTTTCATATTTTTTTGAAGTCTTAAGTCTTTTCTAACTTTTTAATTGTTTCTTAATCTTTTCTAACTTTTACATATTTCAAATACCACTTTTACTTACTTACATTTTCAGATGTCATTTTTAGTTATTTGATGCTTTTAGAGTGTTTTCTAGAAGTGCGTAAGAATAATCATGTAGATTGTTATGTGTAGAAGGAGGAGGTTATGGAAGCACCTCATGGTGTCGGTAAATACCCCATGAGGAAGTGCTTGTAAAATATGAAGGAGTAGAGTAATGAAGTTGTACGGGATTGAAGTAGTAGAGAAATTAAGTTGAGTAAAACCAAGCTATAGAGAATCAAATTGTAGAAACAACTTCTCTTGGATACAAAAGGGCTTTTCTTTATACTACTTTCACTACTACTATATAATTTTGTCCTCTTTACAAAATACTTAGTCCAACCTAATATAGCCTCTTTGAAAATTTCAAACACCATCTTCACATATTTTTAGTTTCTTCAAACTTTATGATTTCTCAACTTTTTTCTGCATCTTACTTTAATTTTCAAAATTTCCAATTTCTTAAACATTTATAGTTTTCATAACTTTATAAGGTTTCTTTAACATAATTGACTTGGTTTGCATTTCACTTAGCTTTCGAATGTTCAAATTTCTCATACTTTTTAAATGTACCGATTTCTTATACTTTAGTTTTCAAACTTTACAAATTTTCATACTGTTTACAAGTGCATATTTTATAGAAAATGAATTAATCTTCAAAGGTATTCATCGGTTTAAACTATAAAAATTGGTTCCCCACGTTTTCAAATGACATTTTTAGATAGTTCATTTCAAGCATTTCAATTTCTTAACTCTTTCTATTTTTACGTACTTCAAAATATTTCAAACTTACAAATATCATAAACTCTTTTTTTATATATTTACATTAACTTTTCGAATATCTAGAACTTTTTAACATTTTTAGCTTTTTAAAATTTTTAATTTTCAAACTTTTCAAGTCTTCATAACTTTACAAGTTGTCTCAAACTTTTTTTAAACTTTCATAACTTTCAATTTCTTTCAATGTTTTCAATGGTTTAAAATAAATAAACTAGCTATTCTATATTATTAAATACCGTTTTACTTGTTTACATTTTCTTTACGATTTTCTTACTTCTCAAACTATTTTCAAGTTTTCGTAATAATTTTTGAAAGTCGTAATACTTTCTAAGTTTTCGAACGTTCCAATTTAACAAACTCTTTCCATTTTCACATATGTTAACTTTTTTCAAACTTTCTAATTTCTCAACTTTGTTCCACACTTCATCCAATTTCTTTTTTTATTGGCAAAGTTTTCAGAACCTTGTAAGGTTTTCAAATACCTTGCTTTTTCACTTTAACATAGTTGCCTTTTTTTTGCATTTCACTTAGCTTTCAAATATTCCAATTTCTCATGCATTTCAAACTTTCCAATTTCTCATAGTTAATTTTCAAGCTTTCCAAATTTTCAAACTAGTTTTAAGTTTTCATATTTTATAGAAAAAAGTTTTAATCATCAAAAGATTTCAAAGGATTAAATTATATAAGTAGGTTCCCCACTTTTTCAAAGGCTCTTTTTAGATATTTATATTTCAAAATTTCCAATTTGTTAAATTCATTCCATTTTCACATATTTTCAAAAAAATTAACTATCCGATTTTCCAACTTCTTTTCCATTTTTGCATGTTTACATTTTTGGCAAAGTTTTTAATTTTTAAAACTTTTTGACAATTTTAGTTTTTTCATATTTTAAATTTTAAACTTTTACAAGTTTTCATGACTTTAAAAGTTTTCTCTGACTTTCTTTTCACGTTTCTGAATTTCCAATTTTTGAAACTCTTTGGACATTTCACAGTAATTTTCAACTTTCAATTTCTCAA